CATACATTGTCTCTGCCTGTGACAGTAAATACACATTTATTTCACTTTCTGTAAACATTTTATCATATCTAATTCAAAGAGATACTTCAAAACTGAAACTTATCTCGGAATTTTCTTGCATTCCATTGCACTTTTCAATAAATACAGTCTACACAAAGCCATGATAAATTATAGAAGAAAATTGAGATGCTGTAAATGGGAAAGATGTCTTTGTAGTTAATTCATTGAATGAAAAATCCATTCAATATTGGTTGATCGTTTTATTGCTCAAACCGCAACACTTAATAGAAATATTCATTAATGTTAAAAAGACTCGAAGTTGTGATCACGTGGTACTTTACACGTAACGTTTCAATCCTCCTCACTAGTGTTGGTTTTTATTTCTTTAATATTAAGTTTGTTTAAGTGGTTGTACATGTAGATCCGCTGATTTACAAAAAAAAAGCTTTTTACAACTGCAGGACGTTGACGTTGACACTGTCACAATACTTATATTTTTTATATTACACCCATGAACTTATTAAAGGTATTTAATAACCTTGATGAATTATTTTACAATAATAATCCTTTCGTTTTAAATTATGCATCACTAGTAAATGAAGGAAGCTGCTTACGTTAATGGATAGCTCTCTGTTTTGTATGTATATATACAACTTGGTTTTTGCAATTATATCTGTTATGATTATAATCAGTAAATAATGTTGATATTAAACAAGCTGTATACAAGTTTAATTTAATCGTATATTTGATATTAAAAATTTGTATTATCACTCCATAGAAAGTGTAGTACAATTAAACAATATGTGAAGAGCATGGTACCGATTCCTATACACACTTCCAATATTACTGTATTAAGTATTCATCAAGTTTTATCGTGAAAGAAATGGAGACGACGCCAAAACAGCAAAATAAATAATGTCTGCTACGACACATGATTTTCATTTTCTTATTTGTTCTTTTGGTACTTTGTGTGGTTTTCTCTATCTTCAGCTGTTTGTACGTCAGTCCATGGAAGTAATATTTAAATATTACTTCCATGGTCAGTCACTCTTGGTGTTTCAATATGTTAACAAATTGATAAACAAGATTTTCATCCCTGTAAAACTCATTAACTCTCATTTTTTTTAAACCATTAATATATGGGAGAGGTTCGACTTTCGGATTCTGTATTAACTGTTCAAGAAGTATGCAAACACATTTGAAAATAAAATTTTTGCTTAATTTTAAGACTTATGATAAAAGTATTATTAAAGAAATATATTTCTCTATCTTATGAAATGATTGTTTTATGTTTTCGGAGGATACTGCTTAATCAAATGATTTAAAACTTTTGAACAATAAAATACAGACGATGGTATTCATTGTTTGGAAATCTTGCCTCTTCATTTTCGAGTGGAGGCATCAGTTGAACAATAGAGAGTTTTATTGTACCCGGTAATAGAATGGAGGCATCAGTTGGACAATACAGAGTAAAATTGTACCCGGAAGTTGAATGGAGGCATCAGTTTAACAATACAGAGTTTAATTGTACCCGGAAGTAGAATGGAGGCATCAGTTGGACAATAGAGAGTTTTATTGTACCCGGTAATAGAATGGAGGCACCAGTTGGACAATAGAGAGATTAATTGTACCCGGAAGTAGAATGGAGGCATCAGTTGGACAGTAGAGAGTTTAATTGTACACGGAAGTAGAATGGAGGCATCAGTTGGACAATAGAGAGTTTTATTGTGCCCGGTAGTAGAATGGAGGCATCAGTTAGACAATAGAGAGTTTAATTGTACCCGGAAGTAGAATGGAGGCATCAGTTGGACGATAGAGAGTTTAATTGTACCCGGAAGTAGTGTTGTACATTTATACGAATCTGGCCTTTCTTTGGCCTTTTTAACTTTTTTAATTCGAGAATCACTGATGAGTCTTTTGTAGACGAAAGGCGCGTCTGGCGTAAAATATTTATCCTGGTATCTATGATGAGTTTATTTCCGATCCATAGTTACTGGACCTGGGTACACCCAAGGTTGTATGCTGTTGAATTTTCAGTTTTCTTGAGTGAATAAGAGGCTGTTTTTTTATTTTCTTATTACTTGTCGTAATTGATGAACGAAATATTCTCAAATGACTATAGGCCTCAATCATTGTGGTAATAACTAAAAACTACAATCCAATCTGCATGAATGTTAGAAATATTTTAACTTGGATTGTGTATTCTTTTTAGAATGAAGTTACTCAATTATGCATATCAAGTGCATATGTTAGATTTTTTTTTATTACTTGCATTGTCAAAATATTTAGAGCTATTATATTATTTAGAAATAAAGCAACAATTTTGTACAACCTAATCCTTTGCATGCCAATGACTATTGATGATGGTAACTAAATTTAAACAGCTTTTAAATGCCTAAAAAAGCAGATGCAAATGTACTTTGAAACATCAGTTACAATTATAGCAGTAATTAGTCATGAATTAAAGACATGTGGTGCTGAAAATTGATATAAATGATTTCAAAATCAAGTTGGGTTTCCATAATTGAATTAATTGAAATAAATGTTACCGCGTTTTTCAAAATTATCAAAATGATACACACAAAAAAAATTTAAATTAAACTGCAAGTAATTTGTTAAAAATCATGACAAAATGCAATTCCTTGTGGTGAAAACTAATTTCAGCACTCCTTATGTTTATAAATATTTAAGTTACACTTTTCCGGATCAGCTGTTTAGAACTTACTTTAAGTACAAAAACAAATCGTTAGTTGATAGTAAAATAACCTTAAACTAAACCTGTAAATGTGTTCAGCCGATAATGAAAGTTTTTACCATAAACTGGTAATTTTAAGTTAACAAATATGCAAACATTCGTACATTCCAAGGTTTTCATCCTAGGCCGAGAACATTTTTATTTTGTAAACAAGATTCCAATATATAATACACACAACTATAAATACCCAAGTTATGGAGAGTAATTGTAGGACAATGCACTGATGTTTTGAGGTTAGAACAGTCTACCATATTTATTCCTGTGCCAACATTAACCACAATTTATCATACAAAGGAAAAGAGAAAAAATAAATTTAACAAAAATATCAAAGATCTGCAATTAAAAAGTAAAATAACAAAAATACCGAACTCAAAGAAAAATAACAAAAATACCGAATTCAAAAGAAAATAACAAATATACCGAACTCATAGGAAAATAACAAAAATACCGAACTCAAAAGAAAATAACAAAATTACCGAACTCAAAGGAAAGTAACAAAAATACCGAATTCAAAAGAAAATAACAAAAATACCGAACTCAAAAGAAAATAACAAAAATACCGAACTCAAAGTAAAATAACAAAAATACCGAACTCAAAAGAAAATAACAAAATTACCGAACTCAAAGGAAAATAACAAATACCGAATTCAAAAGAAAATAACAAAAATACCGAACTCAAAAGAAAATAACAAAAATACCGAACTCAAAGTAAAATAACAAATTCAAAGCGGAAAGTTCCTTATTAAATGGCAAAATTAAAAGTTCAAACACATCAAACGAATAGAAAATAACTGTCATATTCCTTACTTGGTACAGGCATTTCCTTATGTAGTAAACGGTGGATTGAAGCTGGTTTTATAGATAGCTAAACCTCTCACTTGTATGACAGTCACATAGAATTCCATTATATTGACACCAATGTGTTAGTAAAACAAACAGACATAATAGGTAAAAATGTCAAAAATTAGGGTATGTAAGCAGTCGTCATAGTTTTATAATCTTAATCACTATAAAAACAAATGTTAAAAATGAATTCTCCAATTAAGAAACAACAGAGAGATACAAGAAAAGACATCTATAATGACGATGTTCCTGAATCGGATAACCGCAAAAAAAAGACAAGAAAGAAAAATCTAACTAATTCTTTAATTTCATTTTCAGATATAAAAGATGATTTTCTTTCATTAAATAATCCTTATTTTATTTTGGACTATCAATTCATTTACCCGAGTACTAGATTAAGAGAACTTGGAATAAGGTCTGCAGTATATCATTGTCTTTCTCATGATAATGAAAATATAGACACTTCAAAAACTTTATCTAAGATAATTGATACGACTTCGGTTCTCGTATTTCCAAGGTATTATGCTTGAATAGTATCATATACACCAACAAAAAGCTCAAATATCGCAGGTGATATGATTATTATATGTGGCATTTACGTCAATGGAATCCCAATCCAACGATACAACATCCAAAAGAATTGAAATTAATTGATCACCCGTCATGGAGTATTTCAGGGTCCCAACATACTGAAGACATACGAACTGAAGACATACATGTACGCACTAAGAATGACTGGTCATGCATTCATAGCAGGTTACACACACGATATAACTCCTTTTGGTGTTTTTAAGGGGCTTAGTTTTCGCTCTGGGGGAGGGGGAAGATCGGGGAATTTGAGTTTTTTTTGCTGACGTTTTCTTTGAGATGTGCGTGTGTGTGTTAAGAATGAAATGTTAGTAGCTGAATTTATAACATTTGTACGGTTTCTAAAAGACATTCTTTAAATTTTAAAAAGAATTCACTATTAGACGGGATCTTTCATTCTTGAACAATTAAGAAATTGATAGTGATCAGAGCCTCTGAAATGTAATTAAACTTTTTGCAACCGTTAAGTTTTAACAAGTTTATCGTAGGCTTAACTAAGGTAATGTTAATTGATGATCGGATATAACTTGATTTCAGTCAAGCAGTTTGGTAAACAAACAGGTTCGTAATGTGATCTACCGATTTTTATGGCTGTTGCTTAGATATTTTATGTGTCAAGTCAATGAATATACGTGGCTATTCACGCAATGTCAGCCAATAAAATAGGTCTTTGGTATGATCTTTTGCAAAATTTAATTACATCCTACAAAGTACTTCCGTCTTAAGCTATTTGTCTTAATTTGAACACGAATGACTTTCATAGACTATTGTTTCTAAAATTCATTATCTGCAAATGACGTTAACTTTTTTTTAGGAAGAAAGAATAGTTTAGAAGGACCAGGTTGAGAATGGATGCAAAGACATATTCAACAGCGCTTTTACTGCTGTTTTGCTGTCAACACATAAGCTCCAAGGTAAGATTGAAGTATATATAAATAATTTAATTTCCTTTTTAAAATTTTATGAAATGTTGATGGCAAACTACGCTGATATTACAGACTTTTCAAGTCTTCAATCGATACATGATTTTGATATTTTATTTATCGTTATAAATGATTTCCGCATTCAACAATTTAAAGAAGTTGTTATCAGATGCAATGTTCCTTTTTCTTTTTCTTACGTTATATTTTAAGGATTTATCCGTTTTTTAAATGAGATTAAGAGAACCAAAGAATCCTGACCACAGATAAAACAACAGATTTCAATTTAACACAATGAGAAGTTGTTACTGTACGTGTATAAGATGAATAATAAGAATACGAAATGTCCCTATATAAGATAAAACAAATACCTCCGAATGAGTACAATGAGATGTGGAGCATACGTCAAAGAAACAGCAACCCAACAACGCAATAAACCAAAATTAAGTTTTGTCTTGGAAATATCAAATGGAGACACGGACAACTCCATCATCGTAAGGTATAATGATGACAGTCAAACAGCTAATAATGGCTACCATAATTTTCTAAGTCAATAACTATTAGCTATATGTATAGTTTATCGTTATATTTGCATTGTTAAAAACAGAAAATACAATTTTTTTGTAATTAAAGTGCTCAGATATAAAATGCGTAAAATTAAAGTGTAAAATATGCCGATATGCATTTTGAAAATGAACTTCGTATTTCATTGTAAGAAAATTTAATTTTCTAAATATACACACATGTGTGTACATTATAATATAAGTCTTACTTTGGTGTGTACCTTTCGAAACTTATCTCGATTATTCGAATTGAATATGATTTTATTGACTTTTAATTTTGGTAAATCGGGTAATCTGCCATAGAATACTTAATGAATGGATTTATAGCATATTTTTTTCTTTCTTTACAACTATCATGATAGACAATGAATTATCGAAGTGTTACATTTTCATTAGCAAAACCAAACAAACTATATGTAAATACTAATAAAACTATACGACAGCCCAGAGAATCTCCTCCAGAGCAATTGTCAATCTAAATCTTGACCTTACATTTACAATAACGAACATGAATTTCTAGATATAATAGCAAATTATTAAAGCGTTATCTATTGCCTGGTGCCTCAAAGGAATGTTGGAACGAGCTCAATATAAGTTCTGGATTATTCGGCATAATACGTTTACAAGTTTAACATTTGAGTTTCATATGATCGTCACCTTTTACGAAGTTCCTATTCACAAAAGACTTAAGTGAGAAATAAATATGGACCATCTACAAGACTGTTTAAAGACAAAACATGTTAAATGAAATAGACAATAAAGGGACGTATTTTCATGTGCTAAAATGCTCATAACCTAAAATTACTGAGCACATAAATACGCCGTTAAACAATAGAGTCTAGACGTAGAATGCATTATAAACTAATATCATTATTAAAGGGCGATTGGTTGTAAAAAAAGACATGAAAGCATGTTATAGATATATTGTTATTTGACCAGTATGTCAGACTGTGAACATTTAGGATAAACTTCGATCCTTTTCAGTCATTGCGCGTTCTATTAGACCAGTTCTCATCTGGTTTTTGAGGTATATTTATTTACAACCGGTTTCATGTGTAACGGACTTCGTTTAGTTGGTGGTATTTTTTATTTTTAATTTTATTTATTTTTTTTCTTTTATATCTTCTTTTCATTTCTTTTAAGCAATGCTTCGACAACTATTGGGTATGCGTTTGTTTTCAAGACGACTTTCAAACTGCCGATGGCAGTATTTATTTACAAGATGAACTTCAAACTAACCAAATTGATAGTTTTTGCGATTATTTACAAGAAGACCCCAAAACTGTTCACTATTAGGGTGGTTGATTCTTTACAAGACGACCCTCAAATTGGCAAATGATAGACTTGGCAATTATTTACAAAACGACCTTAAAACTGTCTAATGACAGGATTGGTGACTATTTTAAAATTTACAAGACGACCTTCAAACCATTCAGTGACAGGTATGCCGATTATTTACAAGACGACCTTCAACCTGTCTAATAATAGGATTGGTGATAATCTACAAAATGACCTTCAATTTGTCCTAGTATAGGATTGGCGATTATATAAATAAGAATTTATCCCCAATCTGTCCAAAGACTGTGTTGGCGATTATTTTACAAAACTACGTTTAAAATGTTAAAATATAGAATTAGCATTTATTTAAAAAACGACATTCAAACTGTCCAATGACAGGGTTGGCGATTATTGACAAAACGGCCTTCAAATTGTCCAACGATAAGTTTGGCAATTAATTACAAAACGACACTTCAAATTGTCCGACGTTAGGGTTGGCGATGAGTTACAAAACGATATCAACACTGTCCAGTGACAGGAGTGGCGACTATTTACACGACTACAAGACGCCTATCACACTTTTTGATGCTAGGGTTGGCAATTATTTACAAGAAGACCCACTTACTATCCAATGCTAGAGTTGGCAATTATTGACAAGCCTTGTTTTTTTCATATGTGTTCTGTTAAAAATTGTTGCCTTATTAAGATTTGCAACTTATGTTTTTCGTCTAAATTATGTTCTATAAATTTACTGTACTGTTAAGAGACTCATATATTCATATTATAAATCTTTTTTGGTTCCAGTTTTAAAGACGACAGTTCAAAATGTATGTTGACCTCTAAATGTCCTTTTGGTTTATTTTATATCCTTTGGTTCCTTCTCAGTGACGTATAACCCACATAAACATAAAGGATATGTAGTATGAATTCTAAAAAAAATTATCAATCAAATACCAAAGAACGAAGATCTGATCAATTACAGGTAACCATACGACCTTCAACAATGAATCACCTCGATGTTTATCTATGTCATCGTCGTTCTCCTTGACAAATCCAGTCATTTCAACGATGTACAAAACATCGCCAAGAATTCAAATATAAAACAATTGTGGATTGTGAAATATATGAATAATACAACATACCATTCGATATTCCATCATAAACAAGCAGTATGGATCAAAGAGTTATCTTCAGAAAATTATATATTCGTAGCTGTTAATTGAGCACCAGTTACACAATTCTTAAACGGACAGCTGAATTACTTCAAGTACGTGGTAGCCCTTTTTTCTTCATTTTGAAAATTATTTGTTGATGGCAGGTATTTGATTGCTTCTATTTATTCCATTCACTACTTTTATAATCGATGGAAGATTTAGAGTTTCAAGCCTTTACATATTGTATTGACATCTGTCTTTGTTGAAAACTGCAAGTTGCCCTTTAGATGTCTGATTGACGTTTATCCCACACTTCCTTATGGGTTGCTGCCTCATTTACAAATAACCTACACTTCCGTCCAGGTTGCTGTCTCATAGACGTATACCACATACTGCTCTCCAGGTTGCTGTCGCATTGACGTTTATCCCACAATTCCTTTCAGGGTGCTGGGTCATTGACGTATATCCCACAATTCCTTTCAGGGTGCTGGGTCATTGACGTATATCCCACATTTCTTTCCAGGTTGTTGTCTCATTTATGTATACCTTTTATTTATAAGTATCGCCTTTATTTGTTTTACATTCTGGTATACATAAATTGACGGAAGAAGGATCAAGAAATGAGCAGAATTTTCTGCTATCTGTTAGCGGGAGAGCACAGAATATAACACATTTATTTTCAATGACATCTGTTATATGTCAAATTATGGAACAAAATACGTTTATAAAAGACAACAAGTAAGATAAGCTCAAAAGGATCGATGATGAAAAGTTTGGTTTTTTTTTTATTCGAGTGTATGTGTGTTGCTAATTTTAAAAGAATTTTTATCCATATCTGCATCCATTAACATTTTGTAGAGTAATTTTCTATCCTTGTATAATAATTTATTCTTTCATGTTTTGATTTATCATCTTTTGACATTGTTTATTTTAACTGTATCACGTACCAATGTTTGAAATGTAATTGTTTCTGTCGTATATTTTCCATTAATTGAGAGAAATATTACCGTTAAATAATATTCCGTTATCTACCAGAACTTAATGTGTGTTTTAGTATCTCTGTCATGCTATTTAATGATGTATGATGCTGTCAGTGCCAGGAAATGAAGAATTTAATTTTCAGCGAAATGTATTATTGTACCTTTGAAATGCCTTTTCCCTTCTGTGTTGTAGTTCTTGTGTATACTCGATAAAAGATATCTATTTAGCATTATCGATAGAGTAAACTGATTGTTTATTTTAGAAATATGAAACCGATTGTGTATAATCGATGTATGATACCGATTGTGTAAAATCGATATAGAATACAGATTGTGTATTATCGATATGGGATACCGATTTTGGGGTGTACGATACGGGCATCTATACTGAACTTCCACAGCTGCGTTAGAGACCAATATCTTGATATGAGAAACGATTATGGGTATTAGATACTAAATTAGACTACACAGGACAAGAGGTTCTATACTGAGTACAAAGAATTGCTCATTTATAAATTCAATTATATTTTTTCTTTAATTTTTAGGAATCAATTAGAATTAGACGAGACACAGATAAAAGAACAGACGAAATTGTAGAAGAAAAAAGAAAATTTGACTCGATCGGTAGACATGGAATGTCAGGATTTGTGAAAAGACGATTTGACTCGATAGGGAATGCCGGGGGATTCTCTAGCTTTGTAAAGAAAAATGATGCAGATGATGATAAAACCAAACGTGGATTTGATCGAATAGGATCAGCTGGTTTAAGCGGATTTGTTAAGCGACAATTTGATTCTATAGGCGGAGGCAGAATGAGTGGATTTGTGAAAAAAGACGACGACTTACAAAAACGTCGGTTTGATTCTATAAGCGGAGGTGGAATGAGCGGCTTTGTAAAAAAGGACGACGAGGACATGGAAAAACGGCGATTCGATTCTATAAGCGGAGGTGGTATGAGTGGATTTGTCAAAAAGGACGACGAAGACAAGGAAAAACGGCGATTTGATTCTATAAGCGGAGGTGGTATGAGTGGATTTGTCAAAAAGGACGATGATGAAATGGAAAAAACGGCGATTTGATTCTATAAGCGGAGGTGGTATGAGTGGCTTTGTCAAAAAGGACGACGAAGACATAGAAAAACGGCGATTCGATTCTATAAGCGGAGGTGGTATGAGTGGCTTTGTCAAAAAGGACGACGAAGACATGGAAAAACGGCGATTCGATTCTATAAGCGGAGGTGGTATGAGCGGATTTGTAAAAAAGGACATGGCTAAAAGAAGATTTGATTCAATCAGCAGAGGTGGAATGAGCGGATTTGTCAAGAAGAACGACGATAACATAGATAAACGACGATTTGATTCAATTAATGGCGGCCGAATGAATGGTTTTGTTAAAAAGGACACAGACAAACGGCGATTTGATTCAATTAGTGGAGGCGGAATGAGCGGGTTTGTTAAAAAAGAGGCAGAAAAACGACGATTTGATTCAATTAGTGGAGGGGGTATGAGCGGGTTTGTTAAAAAGGACGCAGAAAAACGACGATTCGATTCAATTAGTGGAGGGGGAATGAATGGTTTTGTTAAAAAGGACACAGACAAACGGCGGTTTGATTCAATTAGTGGAGGCGGAATGAGCGGGTTTGTTAAAAAAGACGCAGAAAAACGACGATTCGATTCAATTAGTGGAGGGGGTATGAGCGGATTTGTTAAAAAGGACGCAGAAAAACGACGATTCGATTCAATTAGTGGAGGGGGAATGAGTGGGTTTGTAAAGAAGTCCGACGACGATATTGAAAAACGTCATTTTGATTCAATTTCTGGCGGCAGAATGAACGGGTTTGTTAAAAGGGACAATTCAGAACATACCAATAAAAGCGATATGGACAAACGGCGATTTGATAGAATTGGTTACGGTTTTAGCAGCTTTGCAAAACGACAATTTGATCCTATATCTCGTGGGTCAGGTTTAAACAGCTTTGTTAAGCGGCCCTTTGACGGAATCTCTAGAGGAGCAGGATTTGCTAGTTTTGCTAAGCGACATTTCGATTCTATACATGGCGGATATGGTTTAAGTAGCTTTGCAAAAAGAAGGTTCGATTCAATAAACAATGGTCGCCTTTCATCATTTAACAAAAAAAGTTTTGACTCAATACAGAGAGGTGGAATGCGAGGATTTGTCAAGAAAGATTCACTTGAAATTTAAACAAGTATATTTATATGCATAGACAATACATTCGTTAAACGTCATCTGTGTTTTTGTTTAATCGGTATAATGAGGAATAATTAACTGTGATACGACAATGTTTAATCTAAAAGGTTGTTTTGGATTAACATCTATGATATTGTTGGAGAAATGTGATTATAATGGAGCCGTTATATATACCATATAGGTTTTGTAATAATTGAATTAACAACGAATTAATTTGCAAATAAATTTAAGAGCTGTTAATATACTATGATAAATTGGAGAAATAAAAAATATATATATAAGATAAGAGTGTAAAAACAGCAATGATAAAAAAGAAAAATTTACAAATAGACTTTTTTTTTAAACCCTTAGACAAAAGTCTATATGAAATATTTTTCTTAATTTCTGTGAGCTAAAACTTACTATAAGAGTAGTGTATTTCAAAAATATTTGAAAAAGTTTAGATATGCAATAAGGGGTAAGAAAGTGTCAGAATTCCATTTACAATGTTTATCGGTCTTAGAATATTTTATATAATGTACAAATGTACAGACAGAACGTAAATACTTATTTATGATATTTTGTTGTTATTTTGAAAGTTTGTCTACAGATATACTTTTACATTGCCATATTGTTCACTATTTTTGATCAAGTAAATGAGACAATAAAATATGTCATCTATCTTAATTGTTTAATTTGTGATGCTGTATCAAACAACACCATATTTTGATATGTTGCCATTAGGAGCCTTTTCTATGTGGTCGCATACTAGTTGAATGGCGGTTGAATTCAGTGGAAGAGGTATATCCTAAATTGATTTACCGTTGTGTGCAATTGTATTCTAGTATAATACGATTTCGTCAGGCAAATAATTTGTGAAAGCCTTAACCACTGTTTTAATTAACGATTTACTTCACTGATTTGTTAAACAAAAACTTCAGATTTATTACAAATAAGCCAGTAAGTAAATTTGGAACTTATTTTTCTAATACGGATATTGTTTTCTTTAAGGAATGACTGTAATATTTTTTCTGTCTATGAAGAAATAACATAAAAAATGTGGTGCACACTCAATAACCCGCGTAGCGGGTTATTTAAAAGTGTGCACCACATGTTTTATGTTATTTCGAATAGACAGAAAAAAATATTACAGTCATTTCTTATAATTTAATTCTAAATCCATTTTAAACCGGAGTAAACCATGAAAAAACGTTGATGACGTCACGGTCACATGACAAAATTATGTCTATGAGCTGATAATCAAAACAACGTCAGCCAATCAGAAGACGCGTTACATCCAAAATTAAATTATTTTAATGTACAATGAGAATTTGCACACCTGTTATTTCATATGCCTTTAAAAAAAGAGTAGACAATAAACTTTGCGTAACCGGATACCGAAGTTGATGAAAATTATTCTTATTTCTAACAGATTAGACGTCGTATCTGTAAATTAACCGATTGTGTTCTATTCCCTACTGTGATGCGTATATAGCAAGAGGCGCTTATCATATCGACACATGTAACGTCCTCAGTTTTTGAGCGTTTTTCCCTGTAATTGTTTTTACTCTTAATTAATTTATGATCGGTAATCTTCTGTGCCTCTAAATTGTACAAAACATGTAATTATTATTGCAGAACATGTCTAGATTTAAGAAGAGAGCTGTTTTATATAGTAACAGGTTTTTACAATCTGTGACAAAACATATTAATGTGGATTGAATTTCAATGATACAGCAACCTAACAGCACAAAAACCACATAAGACCTATAGAGGTCAGCACACGATCTTCAAAAATAGTCATCTTTATCGGACTTTAATGTTTGGCTCTCCTTTATTGTCCTTTATGTGATATCCCTGTTCTAAATGGCTTAAAATCACTGTTTTTACATTGGCTATATAACTAATGGCTAGGAGTGCTACCGATGAACGTTGATTAAAAAATGTTTTCAAGGCAACTAATTTTGGTGGTTGGAATGACTGAAAATAAACTACATTTTGTCAGTTTTGTCTTTCTAAGTCAATGGATAGTTTGCCTCATGCCACTGTTTCTTAAATGGGAATTAATATACATTTGACCAGGAACTCTTTTTTAAGATTTGTTTCAGGGTTTGTGCTACTTTAAACACCAAAAACCCTAGTGAAACTTGCTCAAACCTGGGTAAATTCTAAATATTTAAAGTGAAACTGAGAGCAAAATGCACATAATAAGCTTCGTCCGAATACACGTATATCATGGATTACCAAGAAAAAGTATGGAAAATCAAAAATGTGCAAGTTCATTGGAAGCTTTAGATAAAATTACTTTCAAAGTTCTTTAAACATGACAGCCCATCAGTAGTGGTAGCGAACAAGGGAATATTACTATGCTGACTAGGGGGACTAAATTTACTGGATTATACTGGGCATTTGTTGGCCTTCAGTACTAACAGATATAAGAAGAACTATGTGTATTTGTGATAGCCAGGAAAATGTATTTGAAATGAAATTGTAATAACTTATTTTCGATATAGAAAGTCTCTAACCTTGATTTTGATAATATGTCCTCTTGGAAAACTGCAGCACTTTATCCATTAAAAATAAGACGTGCTATATATGATTGCTAATGCAACAACTATTCACCCGCGTCCAAATGATGTGGAGACCACTGTACGGCCTTAGTAAGCTATAAAGACCCAGACATCATTTATTGTTTTCGTTCCAACTTCTCGGTTTTTTTTTTGTTACAATATATGCAATACTGTACACAGTAAGTACCAGATGCATTCAGTACTTCACAGAAACGAAAAGATACACATGCATTTCATGTGAAAGGGAATAGCATGGGATATATTAATCAACTGGGCTTTATTGAAAACCAACTGGTTTTTTTATGAATACTTTCGATAGTTTTCTCGTTTGAACTGTTTCTCCTCATGTTGTCATGTCCGTACCTTTTATAGCTGATTATACGGTTTGGTTTTCCGCTTAATGCGGAAGACAGTAAGGTGACCCATAATCGCTTACATCCACGTTATTTAGACTCTGGTTGAATGTTTTCTCATTGGAAATCATACAAAATCTCCTTATTCTTATATTGACCGTTATTTAAATCATGATTAAAACATGCGCAAGCAAGAAGTCATTGAAAGTTAGAAGTTGTCATTTACACTGAAGCTTTATCTATATTTATGGCTGATCTTTGACTTGTGTAAGCTATCAACCAAATCACTGAAGAAGTTACGATTGGGAATAAGCATTACTTAGTCTGTGTAACAATGACAGAAAACAATTACTTATTGTCTTAAGCAATGTTTATTGATGTCTGTCTTGTCTTAACCTTGTTATTTCGGCGACAGCATCGTTCTATTTAGACATGGTTTCTCTTTTTCACTCTTTAATTCCTAAATAATGGCATGTTCTGTACAAAAGTCTATTTCAGAATTTGGTGTCGTTTAACAATAAAAACTATTAAATGGGGGTCAAATGAATGGCTGTAAGTAGTTTTATGTTTTAAAGTATTCTATTAAATTACTTAAAACGACTTTAACTCCGCCAGTGTAAACTGCCGGTCATTTTTCTTTTAAATAGCGCAATCGTATATTTTATATTTGGCGCAAATGATACTATGTAATTTTAAAACAGGGGGCGCAAACGTAGCATTGAAGAATAAAAGTTGTGGCGCAAAAGGACGCATTTTTGGCGCAAACGGATTTCCCCCAAATGAATTACTTTTCACTTTCATTTGGAATTTATTGTTTACCATTGCTTTTGTTTGAAATTATTTAAATGAAAAAAAGATGCAGCGCTTACGAATAAGATATTTTAATGGCTTTTGAATAACAATGTTTCAAAAAAAAAACGTTTGAAGATTCTTAACTGGCAACCCCACCCATAGATAAAAAAAACTCAGACAAACTATGTCAGGTGAAGTTTACAAAAAGTATAACGACCATGGTAAAAAAATATAAAAAGATATCATGTTATGTTCAACCAAGTCAAGATCGTAAAACTGTCAAAATAATGACTCCAAGCTATATGAAACCTTAGCACATCAATAACCTTTTAATCGACGCTCTACTATGCAAATAGATGCTTTTAGCAATTACAAGGTCTGCAGTTTCGAATCCATTGAGAGAAAATAAACATTCAATTTTGTTATATATTGTTGGTTAAACCAGTTTTACGTTCTCATAAACCTCCCCTTTTGTATTAAATTGTACTAAATGTCAAACAAACTATATCAAGCCTTCGTAGTTGTACATTCTTGTTGTTTCGTTGATTGATATGGACCTCAACATTAATGTTAAGGTTTAGTTGTTCTTTGGATTTGTGTTGTTTGATAAACATATAGTTTAGGTCTCATTAAAGAATGACTTACGTCTCCATCTTCCGAGGGATCAGTTGACAATATTATTTTAATTCAGTGTTGTTAAAGACTTCGCAAGGAAATATAACGATAGAAACAAAATAATACGACAGCTATTTTCTTTTATTGTTCAATTAATAGGTTTACATGTATTCGGTAAATGCCACTAATTAAGCAAACTAATATTAACGACATTACACATCATAATATTAAGTATAAGCAGAGAGTCAATCGTTGACAAATTTTCTTTTCGCTGATGTTGACGACCACTTAGCAATTTGACGTAAATAACGAATGTAAACATTAGGATTGTTATTACTAGTATATCATTTATCTATGTGAAGCTGAAAATAAGCTGAAATTAAAAAAAAAACGTATATTATTTAATTGGTGATTTAGATTCTCATTCAAACAAACAAATGTATGAAGCTGACATCATCGAGATGCTTGATTTTGTATTACGATGTTTTATATCTTCAACAAACAATCGGCATTCCTTTGAGAACAAACTATGCTCTTCTTGTCGACTTGTTCCTTTATTTATATGAGGCAGACTTCAAACAGGAGCTTTTCGGAAAGAAAGAAAATTTGCTAGCATATTCCGTTAACTTCATGTCCACTATAAAGATGATGTGGTCTCACTCAATTTTTTGACTATGTTGAGCGCATCTCATCTATTCCATCGAACTTGAAGTACAAAGGAAACCACAGTACAGTTAGGGTAGTTTGAGAACAAAACTTAACGACAAAAGAGATGATTTCAATTTTCCAATTGTGAACTTTCCATTTCTATTAATCAACACATGACAGCGCTTGCATATGGAATATATATCTCCCAGTGATATGGTTTCAATCGATTTTCACATTTCTTCTTACTGTATAGGGTAATAAGCTGCATTTGGCAAACCTTTTAATTTTGGGGTCACCAATGCTCTTCAACTTTGTACTTTATTTAGCCTCTTTTTCTTTTTTTTCTATTCGAGCGTCGACGTCACTGTTGAGTCTTTTTTTGACGAAATGCGAGTCTGGCGTACACAATTTTAAGCCTAGTATCTATGGTGAATTTATTGTAGGACTCATTTTGTACGTCAATGAGACAGCGACACAACAAAAATAAATGGTATAGTCGACTGTCGTTAACTAAAGACAAGTGCATAAACTTTTGATTTTTTTTATAAGATAGTCTTGAGATGACAATTATCGTATCTAGACATTCTTTTGGGGGGGGGGGGGGGATTATACAGCAAGTATGATAATCTGAAATTCTGAAATGCAAATACGTTAATCTTACTTAAATTGATCCCTAAAAAGAGATGT